TTTGGAGCAACACTTTTACTTTGGCTTTACTCGTTTAGTGTAGTACAGCAAAAAAAAAAAAAAAAAGACATCAAACCAAGTTTCTTGCATCTGTTTCTGTCAATAAAAAAAATTCAGTCAAACTACCCGTAAATAGAAGAATATAAGAGATTCATATATATGATCGGTGTCATTTCACATAAAAATTGGATAAAACTCCAATTGGCAGTCTCATGAGATTGCTTGTTCACAGAGAACTAATACATCTCATCTTCTGTTTTAATAACAAATTACTTTCTCGGAGTGTAAAAATGAAAGAAAGATATCCACTGTATTCTTTGAAACCAAGAGCAATGAAACCTTCGATGCTATAAAAGAGGACGTGCAGAAACGCAACCTGTGATTTTCTGTGAACAAAATGACTGACTTCTCAGCGTTCTGTTAATCTGTTATACGTTGAAGCGGAAAAGCATCACATCTCCTTCTTTAACAATGTACTCTTTCCCCTCTGATCTCAACTGCACAACGAAGACAAACAAATAATTATCAAGAGAACTCCCGAGTAAGCGAGAGAATCATAATGATATATATAGAGCTCATTTTATGGATATAGGGGAAGAAACTCACAAGTCCTTTCTCTCTTGCTGCGGCTAGAGAGCCAGCAGAGACAAAATCTTCATATGCAACCTGACCCCAAAAACAAAACAAATACAACTGAAATGATGTCCGGCTTCCTAATGAAACGTAATGTTCAATTTCCAAGTTTCATGACCTGACGTCAATATTCAGAACAGTGAGTATGAGAACTGTATTAAGAGAAAAAAAAAAGAATGCTTACAGTCTCAGCTCTAATAAAACCCTTCTCAAAGTCAGAATGAATGACACCAGCAGCTTGCGGTGCAGTCATGCCTGCATCAACAATATTTTCTACCAAATTACTTCACATCCCCAGAAAATAATGCCTTTTAAAAATCCTACTGATTGGAAACTAACCTGCGTGTATTGTCCATGCTCTTGTTTCCTGCCATATAGAAAATCCAATATTGAGATTTTAGAAGCCTATAAAAAATAACATTCTTTAGTGTCTGTGTATGTGTACTTCACCTTTTCACCAGAAGTGAAGTAGGTCTGCAGACCTAACAGACTGTACGTTGCCCTGATAAGGTTCCCAAGACCACTCTCGCTGACACCTAGCGAGTTCAAATATTCTGTCCGTTCCTCAAGAGGAAGCTCGGTTAACTCAGACTCAACCTGCTTTCCATAAAAGGAAAGATTTTTAAATCAAGGCATGAAAGTATAAGAAAAAAGATGTACTAAACAGAAAATGATCCTGACCTGAGCTGAAACAACCACATGACCAGACTGCAAATCCGAAGAAAGACCCTTAACTTGCTCAACGTAAGCATTCTTTTCCGGCTCAGCAAGATCGGTTTCAGCAACATTAGCCACGTAGATCATAGGCTTCATGGTAAGCAAGCATAGATGCTTGACAGCGTCTTTCTCAAGGTCATTCAACGCAACGGAACGTGCAGGTTTCCCGTCCAGAAGTGCCTCCTGGATCCTCAGAAGAGCAGATTTTTCAGCTTCCTCCTTGACTTTAGACTGTGAATCCTTAGCCTTGCCTTTGTTAAGCCTCTCGATACGTTTACCAATCTGGTCCAAGTCGCAGAAGATAAGCTCGAGATTGATGACATCAATGTCTGAAGTGGGATCAACTTTGCCATTGACATGAATAATGTCGTTGTCCTCGAAACAGCGCACCACCTGGAGGATTGAATCTACTTCACGGATGTGAGACAAGAACTTGTTCCCTAAACCTTCGCCTTGACTAGCACCCTTGACGAGACCAGCAATGTCAACGAACTCAATGGAAGCAGGGACCACTTTCTGAGAGTTGCTGAGCTTAGAGAGCACTTGAAGACGAGAATCAGGAACAGCCACGATGCCAACATTCGGCTCAATTGTGCAAAACGGGAAATTAGCTGCTTGAGCCTTTCCATTCTCCACCTTAAAAAAAAGAAGGCAAGGTGTTCGATGAAATGCCTCAGAGAGAGAGAGAGAGAGAAAGAAAAGAAGACTTACGACGGCGTTAAAGAGAGTGGATTTGCCGACATTGGGAAGACCGACGATTCCGGCTTTGAGGCTCATTCTTACTGTGGAGGAAAAGCATCGCTTCTCAAGAGTCAAAACTCCGACGAACTTGTTTGGTTTTCCGGAGAAGGTGAACTGGTTTCTGAAGAGATGATGAGACTTGGACGGAAGCAAAGTCAGAGCCGTGACGACGCTGCTACAAGCTGCTCTCGCCATTGTCTGCGCCAAGGGACTAGACTAGACTACTACTCTCTCTGCCTCTCTTCTTCTCTCTATCTTTCTATCTCTCCGAGCTTTTTAAGGCCCAATACTAACCGTCCTAAGTTTAATAAGAAGACCCAATTATATATATTATATATATATACTAGTATTCAATCCCGTACGTAGTACGGGAAAATATTTTTTTACTTTATATATAAAAGTTAATATCTAATTTTATGTATCACCAATATAACTTTTGAAAACTTTTGGTCAAAAAATTTACCAGCTTTGGAAAAGGAAACTTGATCATCATAAATCACCAAATCATCGTGAAAACTCTATAAATAAAACCACATTTTCCTACAATGAATACTAATCCAGCTTAAAGCTAGTTTGTAATACAAAATTTAATTTGAATCGTGGTTATAAAAAAAGAAGCAAAAATGGAATTGCCGAGTTTAGAAAACCAATTACCTTTTCCATTTAGACATCATTTCTTTTGTTGTGCGGCTGGTGCCTCCAAAAATTAATAATTTGGGAATGTCATCGATGTTCGTATTCTTTGGAAGTCTAGTCGTCTTCTTATTTTGCATACGGTTAAATGTGGTTCGAAAATCAAATACCTTTTCCATCAGCTTTATAAATCATTCGTTTACTCATTTTGCTTTAGAATCATCACTAAAATCAGAGACGGACCAACTAAGAAAAAAAAAAAAAAAAACTAAGAAGAAATGGGAGGTCACATGACACCATATAAAAAACAATAAAATGTATACTAACGCAGTGAAAAATCTACAGAAATTATGGTAAAAGTTTTTGAATGACACCCCATAAACCAAGGTTCAAATGTCCCATTACCCTTAATTTGTTGTTGATTGTTTTTTTTTTGACACTAGTTAAATTGAGATCTGGGTCCGCCATTGACTAAAACATGCAAGCAGTCTATTAACTTCCAATAAATTAAAAAAAAAAGTTTTTTAACTTATTCTTTGGTGTTCAAAAAAAAAAACCAATTCTTTATATAATAGAGTTGAATGTACTTATTGTTACCTCATTTCCAAACGATGCTCTGCTTTTCCATTTTCTGAAAAATGAAGTTCTGAAACATCCATATACTCCAGTGACATCTCCTGTCTAAATCACACTAATATCACACCAAAGTAATATGAGGAAAATAGTAATATGAATATGAGTAGAAAAGTAACAAATCTGTATGTATTTTTTTCCGTACAATGACGAACTGTAAAAAAAATTTGGTGAAGAAGATAAAATCGATAGAGAAGAAGAAAGAGAAAAAGCAAAATAAAGAAAAAAAAAATGGACTGGTTGAAAATTATATATAAAAAAGATGAAATCGGTTGAAACCATGCCATGACTTGGAAGTTATAGTTGTGGGATTTAAAAATTAAAAGATTGACTGAGTTTTTTTTCGTTAGAGCCAAATTTTGTTAACAATTGTTTTGTTAATTATTTGATTGGTAAATTAGTTTGATATTTGGAACAAAGTAATTTGATTAGTTAAGTAGTTAGATATTTGGAATTGCTGAAAGATTAGGATCCACTTTAAAGCTTTTTTCATCTTTTTATTTGTTTTTTGTAAAAAATAAATTAGGTGTCAAAATTTGATTGGATAGACGACTTGTGCTTTAATATATAAAGGATGTGAAATAGTTCCTAATTAAAAAATAAACATTTTATTTTAATAGTATACTGTATATACATCACTTAAATTTTATAACTATAGCTTAGTTCATGAGTGATTAGATTTTTCATAAAGAATGGTTTTAATTTGTGTTACACTAGGAATTATATATATATATATATATATATATATATGCCAACGTCTATTTCTTATAATTGTTCTTGAGTGATTAGATTTTGCATAAGAAATTTTTATCTACATTATGAAGTGACATGTATAAACCATTTTAAATGCTTTAATTTAAAAATAGTTTTAATTTGTGTTATATTAGAAATTATTCTCAATATATATATATATATATATATATGCTTGTGTCTATTTCTTTTTCTTTTTTCTTCTTTTTGATCAAAGTGTCTATTTCTTATAACTACATCTTAGTTCATGAGTGATTAACTTTTGCAGAAGAAACTGTTATCTACATTAGGAACTGACATGTATAAACGATTTTAAATGTTTAATTCAGTACAAATATTTTTGTTATGCAAATTAAGACAATAGTAGTGGACTATTTTATAATCATGCTGAAATATTAGGAAATTACAACTAATGTATTAGACTATTAGTTTATTATAAACATAGATTAGAAAATGTATTAAATTTTAAAACTAACAAATAAATAGGTCTAGCGTGATGTTTCTATTTTAATAAGAGATATACATGATGTGTTAGGTTCTCAGATCCTTTGGAACATCATATTTTATCTATTAGTTCCATCTTGTTTCCTTGTAACAACTTAAGAATGCAAGATATTTGAAAAGATGCTTCTTCTCTTTAGACTAATTATACAACAAAAGTGGATGATTTCGTACTCAAATACAGATCCTCATGAAGAATCAATCTCCTGTTGTTTTGTGGCCTAACCCCATTTTAATTGGAGGATGTTAACTGCTCATTACTCTTAGCACATCAAAGTAATGTCATTTTTAAGTTTATATCCACAATCTGAAAAGTACTCCATCAATTCCATAAAAAAATAATATTATTGAACTGTTAATTTTACTAGGTCCTGTCGCGCGGATAATTGATCTTTAAAGTGAAAAATATAACCTTATTTTGATAGTTCCTAAATTTAATGAAATTGCATTTTATTAGTTTGCTAAAATACTAAAACTTGTTTCAGAATACATAGATAATTTGGAAGATGTCGAAGTGTTGCATTTACTTGGATTTTCTTGAAGATCATCCTCTACGCTGTATTAGCATTTTTTGGTTATTGTTATTGTTACCTTATAAATACGAGGTATTAACCAGAATGTATTTTACTATTAAGTTTTTATTTTACTTTAGGGATAATGCTTTTTACCACAAAAACTTCCAAGTTTCAATTACTTATGTTTTGCATCTCTCTAAAGATATGTTTGAATGTAAGTATTATGATTCACATGTACCTGCTTTAAAAGAGACGACTAATTATAAACTGTGTTGTAGCTTCTGGATTGTGGCGGTTAATTCTTTGTATCATGAGTATTTTTGCTAAACTACATCTGCCTTCGGTTGCGTGATTAATTGACCACTAGGTGATTTTCCCGTGCTCATGCACGGGCATAAATATTTATAAAATAAATATATTATAATAGTTGATTGATATTTACTTTAACTTTTATATTAATTTATAGTTTTATGTATAATTATATTAATGATATTATATTATTTTAGGTATACATAATTTTAGATATATTATATTTAGTTAGTTTATCATTTGGATATATATATATATATATATATATATATATATATTGGATTCTATCTATTTCTCTGAATTCAACTATAATCTTTTTTATTCTAAATATCTTAAATTTTTGATTAATTGTTTTATTTACATTTATGTTGGTTGTTATCTTAGAAATATAAGTATATCTTAGTAAGATTATGTATTTTAATATTTCTTGTGCTTAGAACGAAAAAAATAAAAACTATAGTGTCTGATTCTAAATTACATACATAAGTAATAATAAATTTTCAGAAGCTTATGAAAACATATCAATATTTACAATAATTAAATATTTAGTAATTTTAAATAATTTATGCCTTAGATTGATTGGATGGTAAACTGAAATTTATTTTAAATAATTTTTAAAATAAAGAATTATAATTTTCTTAAGTATTTTGATTATGGTTATATTAAATTCCACAAACATAAAAACAGAAAATTAAACATCAAAAGAGTTATTAAGAAAACATATAATTTTAACTATTAAAATATAATATNAATTTATGCCTTAGATTGATTGGATGGTAAACTGAAATTTATTTTAAATAATTTTTAAAATAAAGAATTATAATTTTCTTAAGTATTTTGATTATGGTTATATTAAATTCCACAAACATAAAAACAGAAAATTAAACATCAAAAGAGTTATTAAGAAAACATATAATTTTAACTATTAAAATATAATATATCTACCTCGTTAAATTATATAATGTTATGATATTTTATTAGAATTGTAGTTATCTGATCAAAAGATGTTTACCATTAAATTTATTTTTAGTTTTGTTTTTAATATCTCTTAAAATATGCAGTAAAAATGTGATTGTTTTTGAAAAATTATATTATATAAGTAAAATATAATTTATATTTTTTTGCTGTAACGGTAAGATATTATAATCAAATAAATATACTAATTATAAATTTTTTTGTCAATTAAACATATATCAGTTTATGTTACTTAATTATTTTATGTAATCATCTAATATAATAGATAGATATATACAAAAAATAATTACTTTGAAAATATATATTTTATTGTTTAAATTATTTTTTAAAGAAAAAATATTTCTTTTTCTAATATCAAGATTATTTGTATGAATTTTTTTATGAAAACACATTATATACAAATATTGTTTTCATCTAAGAAGATATAGATATAAAGTATAATTACTTAAAAAGTATAATTTATGTTATTTAAAAATATATTTAAGTTAAATATTACTATTTTGTAAACTTTCCTTTTTCATGAAACCATATTATATATATATATATACACTTATTTTCCGTTTTTAAATAGTTTTGAAAATTTTAGAAATATTTCCTTTTTGTTTTATATTGTTATTTGGAAGATTTTAAAAAGGAAATAATAATATTTAAATATATTTTTAATTCATTAGGGGTATCATAGTAATCAACCAGCGTGAGAGTTAACGTGAGCGCGACACCTAAGAAAGTGACTTCTCAAATAATATAATAGAGATTCTACAAAAGAATTAAATGGTAATTGGTTAATATTTTCTTTGTTATTTTTAATATGATTTGAATCAACTTCTAATTTATATGTATAAAATTAAATATATTATTATTATAATAAATTATATTTTCTTATTTTATTTGGATGTTTAATTTTGGATATAAATTAGATTAGTCGAGTCATTCATTTTGTGAGTATATTGAGTTAAATATATTTTTACGTTA